TAACTCTTCCTCCAGTGAAAAAGTGCATCTCTTGTTGTCTCTCACATCAAAATCCAGCCACATATGTGTTTAAAGCAGTTTAAACGGTGCTTGATCTGTGCAGATTTCTCTCCTGATTCACACCAGAACATTTTTTCACTGGAGGAAGAGTTATTATGGTTTATAGACTCTATGGTATTTTAGTTTAAAACGTCTTAATGCTGGATTTGTTTCAGCTTTTGTCTTCTCCAGATGTTAACTGATGGACTGGAGTGCTGTGGGTTATTGTGATGTTTTTATCAGCTGTTTGGACTCTCATTCTGACGGCACCCATTCACTGCAGAGCATCCATTGCTGAGACACTGATGCAGTGCTACATTTCTCCAAATCTGATGAAGAAACAAACGGACCTACATCTTAGACGGCCTGAGGGTGAGCACATTTTCAGAAAGAGTTCATTTTTGGTTGAACTAGTCCTTTAGTCCACATGCCCTTGTAATCTTTAATCAAAAACATGAACTCTAAGAAGGAATCGGTCTCTTCTCTGATGGCGTGTGCATGAGGGCAGGACAGTAATTCCTCCAGTGACCGGTCACTCACATGAGATCACAGCAATTAGCAAACAACAACGATCCAATCAATTCCCGACGGACACACACAAACACACACTCTCTCACACACACACACACACACACCTGATTGGATGAGATCATCTGAGGGTCATTATTTGTCTTGGGCAATGTGTGATGGGCGAGTCGGTGTGAGTCAGCGAGAGAATTACCTCAAACATCAGAGACGCGTACGTGATGCTCCTGTTCTAGAGCTGTGGTCGTATGCAGAGCTTGAGTTCATCACCTGCTGATGTCAGACGCTCTAATGAGGCTCAGCGACTGCAAATAAACTTGTACAGATTTACATCAGTCCGCCAAGAAACAGAATTGAGTTTAAAAGGCATCAAGTATGAACTGAGTCACTGGATTTGACAGTTTGAGATCAAATCTTAAGATGTTTGACAGCATGTCCTCGTCTCTTCTTCAGCTCAGTCTTGAGCTCCACCTGTGCACCTGCTATCTTGTATGAAGTCGGTGTGTGTAGACGCACATGTGAATGCATGCATGTTTACATGTGCACGAGTGTGTGTTTGGGTGCTGTTTGGCCGAAAGACCTAGTCGACCCAAAACACAAGAGTTTTCCAAACCGTAGATGGTCACGAATGTGAAGGGAGGTCGTCAGTGCTTTCCTGCGAGCCGCTCTTCTGTGTCAAAGGAGAGAAATGAACCTCAGGGGGCTGAAACATCCAAACAACAGCAGCGCTGGAGGATCATAGACATCTCTAACAAACAGCCCGTCATCGGCTGGTTCGACCAAAGACATTCTCATCTCTGTCTGCAGATATTTGCCTGATTATGCACAGAGACGAGCAGAGTTACGGATTACAAGTAACGTGAGTTATGTAATCAGATTACTTTTTTTCCAAGTAACTAGTAAAGTATCACATTACTTTTAAATTTACAAGTAAATATCTGAGTTACTTTTCAAATAAAAAGTTGACCCTCACAAGATTCAACAAGCACAAATCACCCGATCAAAAATGAGAGAATAAAAGTGACATGCTCATATTGAGTCAGGAAAAGGTTACGCAGACATTTCCAAGACCCTGGATCTGAACAGACACACAGCGAGAGCCGTAATGTCGAAACGAAGCAGACTTGGAACGGTGGAGAAACTCTCCAGGAGCGACTGGCCTGCCAAGGTTTCTCCAGAGGCGCAGCCTAAAATCATCCAGACCGTCACAGAAGATCCTGAAGCCGCGTCCAGAGAACTGCAGGCTACTCTCGGGCCAGCGTTTGGGATGCCACAATCAGAAACGTTTGTCTATCATTTGCTAAGAAGCAGCTAGGTGGTTCCAAGTGTTTTGGGAAGGTGTTCTGTGGAGAGACGAGCCCAGCATGAATCAGTTCGCTTCAGGAGCTGGAAGAACATCCATCCGTGATCCAGCTGGAGATGAAGCGAAGCTGGATGATGTGAAACACAAATGCGTATCCACGTGAAAGCAGCAGAAAAGAAGCACATAACCCAGTGTTTACAAACACACAGTGTGAAATCCTGAAACTTGACGACCCGTGATTAATGACTCGCTCTTAATTAAAAATAAAGGTTCCAAATGGGTGTTTTAAGTGAAAAAAAATAAAGTGATGTGACATGTGGCCAAGTATGGTGACCCATACTCGGAATTAGTGCTCTGCATTTATCCATCCTAAGTGCACACACACAGCAGTGAACACACACACACCGTGAACACACACCCGGAGCAGTGGGCAGCCATTTTTGCTGCAGCGCCCGGGGAGCAGTTGGGGGTTCGGTGCCTTGCTCAAGGGCACCGAAGAACCATTTTTGGTTCCCCAAAGAACCTTTCAGTGACCAGTTCTTAAAAGAACCACTTTTTCTTAGTGAGAACAACATTTAATCTAAAGAAGCTTTTTGCACAAAATTCCACACTTTTAAAAATAAAGGTTCCAAATGGGTGTTTTCGCAACAATGCCATAGAAGAACCATTTTTGGTTCCACAAAGAACCTTTCAGTGATCAATTCTTAAAAGAACCATTTTTTTTTGTTCACAACGCTGTAATATTCTGAAGAACCTTTTGTGCAATGGAAAGGTTAAGGTTAAAGGTTCCATCGATGGCTCAACACCTGAGCATTACGGGAGCGGCTTCTGCCGTTTCAAAGGTAAAAACCCAGTTGAAAGTCTCAGTTCTGCCGCTCTACATGAACCTGAACGCTCTGTGATATCAAAGCAATCCACACGTGATTAATAATGATTGATTCTGTGAGATTTCAGATACTCCTCCCGTATCGCTGATCGTCTGGGAGTCGGAGCGCTCGATTCCTGGAGTCCAAGACCACGGGAAATGAAAGGAGACACAGTCGCTCCTTAACCAAAGCAAATAAACCGTGTGAGAGAGTTAGAGTAAGACGCTTTCGCACAGGCACACGCTCCCCCGCCCGTCCCTGCATCCGTCTGTGATCCGCACGAGGCCGGGAACAGGAACAGGAACAGGAATGGGATGCTGTTATTGGGTCACGTGCAGTGAGAGAGAGGACTGAATTCCTCAAAAGTAGGTCAGTATATTGGAGCATCTGTTTAAGCCATAGCGCCGAGCCTTAGAGAAAGTAAACACACAGAAGAATGAGCAGAACTTTGTCAGTTGGCCTCGAACCCTGCAGCCGACGGGACCCAGAGACACACTGCTGAACAATGATGTTACGACACCTGACGATATGACATAAATTAAACCAAACGCCGCTCGCAAGCCATTTCAACCAAGTGACGTTTTTATGAGTGAAACGCGAGATTCGGACTTTATTTTCTCCATGATGAACTGATTGGATGGTGAAAGCGTCTCTGAAGGTGGTTGATATAAGTAAAGCCACAGCTATATTTTTATACTAATAGAGTTTTATTCTATTTACTATTTACTTATATACTTTCAATTTTTATTTTAATATTAGTTGCATTTTTAGTTATTATGTGTTTTTGTCATTTTTGTTTAAATATAGTCATTTTTTGCATATTGAATTGTATCATCAAAGGTCAGCAGCAGAGACATTGGTTAATAAAATGGAATTAAATACATAAAGGATATTTGTATTACTTATATTTAATTGTTGCAGGTTTGCATCATATTCTGAGTTTGCTTTTTACTTTTTTTAATTGATTTTGAGGAATACTGAATCTATTTTTGAGCGAGTGAGATGAGTAAATGCATGCTGACATCTAGTCTAGATCTACAGTAACATCATGTTCACACAGCACCTCTGCACTCACTCCTGATTTATCCTAACATGACGACATGACAGCTGTCAGTCAATAATTGGGAAAACAAAGTAACTGGCCTTACTTATTTGAAAAAGTAACAGATATTTTCTTGTAAATTAAAAAGTTGTGTGTTACTGTACTAGTTACTTGAAAAAAGTAATCTGATTTCGTAACTTGCGTTACTTGTAATGCGTTACTTTACTAGTTATTTGTCTGATTACGTAACTCGCGGTACTTATTTGAAAAAGTAACTTAGATATTTTCTTGTAAACTTAAAAGTAATGCGTTACTTTACTAGTTACTTGAAAAAAGTAATCTGATTATGTAACTTCCGTTACTTGTAATGCGTTACTTTACTAGTTATTTGTCTGATTACGTAACTCGCGGTACTTATTTGAAAAAGTAACTCAGATATTTTCTTGTAAACTTAAAAGTAATGCGTTACTTTACTAGTTACTTGAAAAAAGTAATCTGATTTCCTAACATGACGACATGACAGCTGTCAGTCAATAATTGGGAAAACAAAGTAACTGGCCTTACTTATTTGAAAAAGTAACTCAGATATTTACTTGTAAACTAAAAAGTAATTACTTTACTAGTTACTTGAAACAAGAAATCTGATCACATAACTCACATTACTTATTTGAAAAAGTAACAGATATTTTCTTCTAAACTTAAAAGTAATGCGTTACTTTATTAGGTACTTGAAAAAGTAATCTGATTACGTAACTTGCGTTACTTGTAATGTGTTACTTTACTAGTTATTTGTCTGATTACGTAACTCGCGGTACTTATTTGAAAAAGTAACTTAGATATTTTCTTGTAAACTTAAAAGTAATGCGTTACTTTACTAGTTACTTGGGAAAATGTAATCTGAATAAGTAACTCGCGTTACTTGTAATGCGTTACCCCCAACACTGGTCATCAGTAACAGTGATCTGTATCTACAGTATATATAAATTAGTGACATTCTGCTGCCCCATATGGCTTAATTAATTTACCACAAAGCCTTCCTTTTAAGGTGTTGTGAAAGTACCATGGTACTATATCAGTGGTATTTATACGGCATTTTATCTTAAAGTTATAGTGACATCTTTGTGTACCTTGAATATGTTATTAGCTCCTCATACGGATTTATTTTCTTAATTTCCCTTTTGTATAAAAGTGTCTAAAATCTGTTCACCTCGAGCTGATTTCGGCGTTCGGCTCAATTCGCGCAGGTTCTCGCGAGATCAGAGGGCGAGCGAGCGTTTTGGATGAGATTTGAGTGGCGCAGCGGAATGAGCGCTGATGCAGTAACGCAGCCGCTGCGCTTTGAGTTGCACCTCTGAGCTCTTTTTCTCACTCTGACTATTTTTACCAGGCACTTTACAGTCTGCGTCAGTGCACACTTACTGGGGGAGACTTCTTCTTCATCTTCTTCATCATCTGCTGGAGGTACAGAACTTTCTTTTCCTCAGTTTTACTTTCTCCTGAAGTGTTGTGTTCTCCTTTTGCTTTCCACTGACGCCGCTTTCTTCTTCACCGAGTTTGTGTTCTTGTCAGTTTTGCTATTAATGCGAGCTGTTGGTCGTGCAGCGGGAGCACGCGCAGAATGATGCGGCTGCTCTTGCTCGTGTCGCTGTGTGTATCGGCGCAGACGCTGGACGCAGACGCAGCCGCGGAGCAGCCGAGAGCGAACCGAGCGAAGCGGCGCGGCGGCGGCCAGGACGTGCTGAAGGGGTAACGCATCTCTGCATCACTGAAGAACCACACATTCACTCCAAACGCCAGGGTAAACCTGCCTCTCACCGCTCCGGGGCCCGGGAACTATAGTGCCACAGCATTAATGATGGCACAGGTTTCTTTAATGTTTGTTTTGCAACATCTCGAATCTTCGCGTGGGATGAAGTGTTCATTTAGATGATCCTCACAAAACAATAAACATTCAATTACAGAAGGGGAAAAAAACATCTGTGCACAAAAGTCGTGGAACCTGTGGTTTTTATCACACAATTCACACTTTTTTTCTCTCGCAGTTATGAGAAAATTGACATAAACTCAGAATTCAGTTTTTTTCCGCACAATTTTGAGTTTATATATCTCAATTCTGACTTTTTTCACAGAATGTAGAGTTTAAATCTTGCAATTCTTTTTTTTCTGCCACAGAATAAACAATAAAAAAGATAACTGCGACTTTTTATCTCACAATTCTGACTTTTTATCTCACAATAATTAGGTTATATCTCATATTTTAAACTTTTTTTCTTCGTAATTCTGAGTTTAAATCTTGCAACTCTTTTTTTGTTGTTTCTGCCACAGAATAAGCAATAAAAAAGATAATCGTAAGACTTTTTATCTCACAATTCTGACTTTTTTCTCACAATGACGTTATATCATCATTTAGACTTTTCTCGCAATTCTGAGTTTATATAAATGTGAGAAAACGTTTTTTATTCAATTTTAATTGAGTAGCATTTACATCGTGGCAGAAACGTAACAAAAACCAACCAAACAAAAAAATATATAGAAAAGAGCATAAACAATAAACGGTAACAATAAGGTTCCATTAGTAAATGATGAACAAACCATTAATCTTTGTTAATGTTAATCGTTGTCGTTCATTGTTAGTTTGTTAATTCACCGTGCATTAACTAATGTTAACAAGCACAACTTTTGATTTTAATAATGCATTAGTAAATGTTAACATGAACTAAGATTAATAAATGCTGTAGTTTTGTAAGTGAGACCACATGCTTCTCCAGCGCGTGGTTTGAATTGTGTATTGTGCAGCACGTCTGGAGGGTAAAAGTCATAAATTGTCTCCCATGAGCCCCCTCGCTCTCATTGTGCATTGTTCGTGTTCTCCTTACACGAGTCAAGGTGCTGCCAGCAATAGATGCTGCTGCTGGAGAAGTATGAGGCACACTCCCGAGCCAGAGTCTGTCAGCAAGAGAAAGCTGAAAAAACTAAAAAAAAAGCGCGCTTCCCGACGCAATTAATTTACCACAAAGCCCTCCTTTTAAGGTGTTGTGAAAGTACCATGGTACTATATCAGTTGTGTTTATACGGCATTTCATCTTAAAGTTATAGTGACATCTTTGTGTACCTTGAATGAATTATTAGCTCCTCATACGGATTTATTTTCTTAATTTCCCACTAATGTTAACAAGCACAACTTTTGATTTTAATAATGCATTAGTAAATGTTAACATGAACTAAGATTAATAAATGCTGTAGAAGTATTGTTCATGCTTAGTTCATGTTAACATAAGTAGTTAACTAATGAACCTTATTGTAAAGTGTTACCTAATAAACAATGAAAAAATTAAACAGGAAATGCAAGAAAAATAAAGTAAGCAGGGCATAAGAATTACTTTTTATGTATTTTTGTTTGTATTTATGCTCTTTGTTTTTACTCCTACACTGAAAAAAAAAATTGGTGGTGAAACAACTTTCAGACATTGCTAGTAAATTTCACAAATAAGTAGAAAGTAGAGTTTGTACTGTAGAGAAGCTTTGATGCTGGCTTGAGAAAGGCTCGTCTGAATACTTACAATACAGTTTAACAAGCTGTAAGTTTGAAGAAGTTTTTAAAGCCATGTCATCTGTAAGATTAGTTGGGTAGATATGAAACATTTTATAGAGACGGGTAACAAATTGGATTAAATGTGACATTTTGGAGTACCTTTAGAAAGACTGAAATAGTATTTTCTTGTACAACACACTCTAGCATCCCACGCTCATTTTATTCTATGTATGGAGAGTTTCACACATAAAGTTTAAATGTGAATTTGACCCGTTGCTCGGTTAAGTTTTGCCGAACTCTTCCCGCAGGCCGAATGTGTGTGGATCCCGTCATCAGGCGTACTGCTGTCCCGGATGGAAGACCTTGACCGGAGGGAACCAGTGCATCGTCCGTAAGTCCTCATGCACTTACTGTTTGCTGTGTTCTGCTCCAGCACGAGCGAACGGACACGGTCTGTCAGCACGAGTGTGTTTACGGTGGAGGGCGGGGGCACTGGATGATTGTTTTCTGCTTTCATCCTGTAACTGAATAGATTGGCAGCGCTCAGGAAGGCTGTTCTGGCGCTCCACCGTCTCTCAGGCGCGGGGGCGGGGGGGGATGATGTTGTTTACATGTGAAGGTCAGGCGCGCTAAAGTCTCTCTGACCTCCTGACCTCTCACTGACCACACATTCCAGTTATATGTGCATCGTGTAATCGCATTAATCCGATTAAGCCAGACAGCTGGCATATGCCTCGATGAACTGGAAGTCTGTCTCATGGAAAGACCTGAATCTGCAGACTTTGATTGTCTGGGATGGATTTAAACATGTTAGTGCATATATGTGACCCTGGAGCACAAATCCAGTCATAAGGGTCAATTTTTTGAAATTGAGATTTATGCATCAGCTGAAAGCTGAATAAATAATCTTTCCATTGATGTATGGTTTGTTAGGATAGGACAATATTTGAAAATCTGGAATCTGAGGGTGCAAAAAAATCTAAATATTAAGAAAATCATCTTTAAAGTTGTCCAAATGAAGTTCTTAGCAATGCATATTACTAATAAAAAATTAAGTTTTGATATATTTACGGTAGGAAATTTACAAAATATCTTCATGGAACATGATCTTTACTTAATATCCTAATGATTTTTGGCATAAAAGAAGAAAAATCAATCATTTTGACCCATACAATGTATTGTTGGTTATTGCTACAAATATACCCCAGCGACTTAAGGCTGCGTTTGTGCTCCAGGCTCACATATAAAAAACAACAAGGGAAGGGATGTGCAGAACGTCTACTGACACCTGTGAAGGTCAAGCAATCAATACATCGCAGTCAGTCGTTGTTTTTGCAATCCTCAGCTATTTGTCGGAGCTCCTGCGGAGACGGCTTCTGCTCCAGACCCAACATGTGCACCTGTCCGAGCGGCCAGATCGCTCCCACCTGCGGATCCAAATCAGGTAATTCATTCAGTGCATCTGCCACTCCTCTCCATTCAGGAGTGTGTCTGTCACACAGGTGGAGTCAGAGAGCAGCTGAAAGTCACATGACCATCTTGTTCTGCTTCCTGTTTCCTGAGTGTTTTGATCAGTCCAGCCAGCTTTCATTTCTGACATATTTGATGGTTGTGTGTAGATGGTAACCTTCATTCCGTGAGGTATCCACTATCAGTAGCAGTCCACTGATAGAGGGTCAGAGTGACAGATGTCTTATATACATGTCACATAATTTAATGTATTCATTTAAAAAAAAAAATTAATTTATCAATTTCTTAAGTTGTAATTTTTTTTTTTTTTCTGATGTAGTTGGCCATATTTTGCATTTAACACAAGCATTAAAAGGCTTAAACTTTATTATTCTTTATTATAGTTATGACGCATGGGGTTTTAAAATGTTCTTTTTATTACTATTTTTATACTTACGATGCATGCATTTTTAAAATGTTTTTTTTTGTTATGATGCATGCATTTTTCAAATGTCTTCTTTTTATGACTATTTTTATAGTTACGATGCATGCATTTTTTAAATGTTTTCTTTTTATGACTATTTTTGTACTTACGATGCATGCATTTCGAATTTATTTATGTTTTTTATGACAATTTTTCTACTTACGATGCATGCATTGTTAAAAAAATTTTTATATAGTTCTGATGCATGCATTATCAAAATGTTTTCTTTTTATGACCATTTTTATACTTACGATGCATGCATTTTGAATTTATTTCTGTTTTTTATTATACTTATGATGCATGCATTTTTCAAATGTTTTTTTTATATAGTTATGATGCATGCATTTTTAAAATGTTTTCTTTTATGACCATTTTTATACTTACGATGCATGCATTTCGAATTTATTTCTGTTTTTATTACTATTTTTATACTTATGATGCATGCATTTCAAATTTATTTCTGTTTTTTATTATACTTACGATGCATGCATTTTTCAAATGTTTTTTTATATAGTTATGATGCATGCATTTTTCAAATGTTTTCTTTTATGACCATTTTTGTACTTACGATGCATGCATTTCTAATTTATTTCTGTTTTTATGACTTTTTTATACTTATGATGCATGCATTATTAAAATGTTTTCTTTATGACTATTTAAAAAAAAAAAAATTATGTATAGCACTTTGTGTATCATTGTGTATCAAATGTTCTATATAAATACACTTGCCTTAATGATGGTGAATATAAATTTAACAAATATTTTGTATACATTTCATAAACATTTTCATATTTATTTTCATAAGAATATTTTAAATCAAACATTGTGCATGACTGTATTTTTGGGGCAGAATTATGCACTGATGTTGGTCAGTAGGATAATCTCAAAATAGACAAATAATGACCCGGCTGATTGCACCAAATGCAAATCTCGCAAGAGTTTTACCGAATACGGTTTGGCAGCTTAACAAGAATATGTTGAAAGTTGGTCATCTGTTTAGGGTGTTGAGAATAATGGTTTAGTGTCCCAATCGTCTCAGATTCTTGCAGTTGTTTTACTGCCGTGATTGTGAATAACAAATATTGTGAATATTAGCTGTGTCTGGATGGGTGTGTGATTTGGAGAGTGTCCACAGTCAACAGGCCTCACCCGCCGCTCCAGCTCCTCACTGGATCTCTCCACGGGGTGGAGACGCTCGTGTGTGTGTGTGAGTGAGTGTGTGTGTGTGTGTGTGTGTGTGTGTGTGTGTGTGTGTGTGTGTGTGTGGGT